GAGTTTTTGTCTCATTTGTCACCCGCTACTCATCGTGAAACCACTTTCTGTCATTCCTCATCCATAGTTCATCAAATAATTCACTTTTTGGCCGGTGCAATCCATGTTTCTTTCCTCCTTTTCAACACGTCAAATAATCTGTTTTTTTGCCCATGGAATCTATGTTTATTTCCTGTTATTCGGGACTTGCCACTCTTACGTAGTTTCGGTCCTCTGTGTTACCTTTTAGACCCATTTTTAAGCTTGTTTCCCATCCTTTTTTCAAGCTGGTTCAATCTCATTCTTAAGCCAAAACTCATGCTCGTCCTCAAGCCAATTCTTGGGTTCATTCGCCGCCCGTTCTCTGACTAGTTGTCAATGCCAATTCTCGAGTTTATTATCAAGCTCATCTCAAGTCCAACAACCTCGGACCCTTTTCAAGCTTGTAAGCTCACTCTCAAAGTCCAGTCCCAGATTCTTTATAACGCTTGTACTCAAGCTTATTCTCAAGTTAGATCTCAGACTCACTCTCAAACCCGCACTCAAGCTCGTTTTCAAATTCAATATCAGACTCACTTCCAAACGCGTACTCAAGTTTATTCTCAAGTTCAATCTCAGGTTCACTCTCAAGCAGGCTCACTCTCAAAATCGTACTGAAGCTCGTTTTCGAGTTCAATCTCAAACTCAGTCTCAAACCCTTACTCAAGCCTATTCTCAAACCTCTCAAGTTGTACTCAAGTTCATTTACGAGTTTATTTTTAAACCCGTTCTCATTCTTTGGTCAATTTTTATGCCCATTTTTAAGCCATATGTTGGACCCTTTTTCAAATTTGTCCATAAGTTCGTTTCTTTTTTAAAAGGAATGATTTCAATGCTCCGATAGGGCGGTGTCAATGCCATGTGGTGATGCATAATCTCCATCCTTACCTCACCAGGCCTCCCTCATGGACAATGCAGCTTAACTTAGCAGGAGCAACCTTGGTCCGTCCAACGGCCTTGCCACACCTTCATGGCATGGCATGTGGTTGAGAAGGGTCATAAGACTAAAAAAGCAACTGTTAGGTCCCGTCATGGGCCCCTTGATCGTTTAGGTTCTTAACGAGAGGTGAAGTCTGAACTTTCCCACTAGAGCCCGTTGTCAGAGTTAATTCCGGATGTTGAGAAACAAAAAGTGTTGCAATCTTTCAACCTTTTCCCCCTCGTGAGGAATTGGTCGCGGTTGAACTTTCTTGAAGGGCAAATGTCTTGGGGTTGCGGCGCAAAGGTCGATGTTCCCCCTCCAACTAAGGCCTTAAACTTAAAAAGAGAAGAAGACTGAGTTACTTAAAAGTGGTCGTCATAACTCACGTGTCCGAGGGTCCCCTGTATATTACGCAATTTTCATTCCTTTTTCACAACTATCAGTATGTCACATTCCATCACATCTCGGCCTTTGAAACATCTTTACACAACTGACTCTCATAGGATGTCCCGTAACAATATTCTTGCGGGCGTCGTCAACAAGGTTGGCAACGGTGAATGCACAACCGCAGCAACAAGACTGACATCCCTGCAGCCGGAATACCGCCAACACACAGTCTCTTTCCCAATCATAAGGGGAAACTTCAAGCAAATCGCGTCCACCATCATGGGCACCCTTTGGCGTATCGCTTTAGGGCGGGGACAAATTGGGGGGCAGTGCGACGCATCTCCGATCGCCAAGACGACGACCACCCAATGCCTCTAACATCGCTGTGAACTTGTGTTACTGAATGTGTGCGTGTCAGATCGTAAAAGGATCACGACTGAAATTGTGAACGGACGACAACGATGCCTGAAATGAACAAAGAGATGAGCATAACGACGTACAACAACACACAAACGAAGACACACAAACCATACATACACACACACATTCTTCGACCGATTGTATCAGACTGAAACTTACATGGACATTCCCTCTTTCTCTCTCTCTCTCTCTCTCTCTCTCTCTCTCTCTCTCTCTTCCCCTCCTTTCCGCCCCCGCACCATTCAGGATGAAACCGTTGTATTACTTCGCTTTTTTTTTTTCTTCTTAGAAAGTAAAATGTGTTTTTTTTTTTTTAATTATCTTTGTTTTTGTTTTTAGAAGAAAAAAATACGGGATTTGTAAGCGATCGGTACCTCAGTAGGCCAACCCCCGAAACCTGCGACGCTGAACGACCGTGTTGACTTTTTTAAGTTGGGCAAAAAAATTATGGTTTAATGATTTTTCAAGTTTGTTTTGATATTTTTCCTTGAAAGAGCACAACCTAATCTACAAATTATTAATTTTTCATATTTTTTCGCAAATGTTGTTGAGCATGAAAAATCATCAAAGTTGCCTTTTGCGAGTTGTAGGATTGGAGTTGTTTGTACCTCTCTTGAGTAGGGTCCTGGTGGAAAGCAACATTCACGTGCGTCCACAACAGACCCTACCTCGACGCCTGCACCTGAGGGCATCGACAAACAGGTTTTTTTTTTTAGCCTCTTTTGCTGTTCATATGCAAGGGCGGAATAGTCCTCCACCTTTGCTACTGCACCGGTTCTACTCGTGATCGCTTTAGGTAGTACGTAAAAACGCGGTGGACCGGTCCCGCAACAACTTTCACCCCCTTAGCACTCGCTTGTGGGTAGATCCCTCGCCGTTGAAAATGTGCCACATTGACAGGAACGCCGAACCCTACTATACTGCAGCCTTAGGGCTGCGAATTTGGAACCTTATAAGCCCTCCTCTGCAATGGTCATTCGCAGCCAAAACTCGGCCAGCCTGAGACTGATGTTAGATCCTACAGTCCCGCAAACCCTAGGGCTATGAAGTATTGAATTACCATGAGGGCATCAGTGCGCATCCTATAGTTTGTTGTTGATGTGGTTGTAGAATGGTAAGCAGTGATTATGTTATGTGTATGTTTTGTTATGTTCGCTATGCAAAATTCGAAGAGTGTGTGTGTGGGGGGTCCCAGTTGGTGTTTTATTCACACGAGTGCGGGGTTCCAGTTGATGATTTATTCACGATGTTCATGGGACACTGGACCCTGTTTCCAGCATGTGGCGCCCCCCATCATTAAAAAGGAGAACGTGTGTGTGTGCGTATGTGTGTGTGGGGAAAAAAACGAGAAAAACAAACTCAAAAGGACTATAAAACCCTACTAGCTAAATGCCCTCGGTGCGGGTTGTGCCCACGAAAATAAGAAATGTTATAGGTAACCTGACACGGAACACTCGCATAAACTTAAACAGACTTGAAAAAAAAAAAAAAAACACGTATCACAAGGTAGGAAAGAATAGCCAAAAACTGACTACAAAGTTTGAGTTTAATTTACAAATAACAAAAGCGATAAATTGAAAACTAAAAGAAAGACAGACAAAGAGAGACAAAAAAGAAAGGAAAAGATAGAGACAGAAAGAGAGAGATGAGGAGATATAGAGAGATAGAGATAGAGATAGAGATAGATAGAGAGATAGATAGATAGATAGATAGATAGATAGAGAGAGAGAGAGAGAGAGAGAGAGAGAGAGAGAGAGAGAGAGAGAAAAAAAAAAAAAAAAACAATAAAAGAGCAAAAAAAAAAAAAAAAACAACACGAGTATATAAAAAGAAAATTTAATATGAAGATTTTTTTTTGCATTAAAGTTAGCAAGCGGCCGTAGTATGATTAAAGCACAATTATTGCGTAATGAAATTCACTTTGATTTTAACAAATGCAATAATTGTCTCTCTCTCTCTCTCTCTCTCTCTCTCTCTCTCTCTCTCTTTTTCTATCCTTTTGCAAGTGTAATTACTTAACCGAAACCGAAGCCGACCATTAAAAAAAATGTCATTAAGGCAAAGTCTGGACAACCGCCCAATCAACATTTCTTTCTTTTTATCTCTCTTATAAGACCAATCAGCTTCCTTCATTGGAACGATACTCTTGTAAAACATCACAAATAGAAACTTATTGCAACACTTTGCGATGATACTCCTCGAAAGTTTCGAATCGACCCTGTCCTTGCCGATTGTAATCGAGATGAATTGCATGATCCACACATCTTCAGGTGTTCATGCTCATATTCAATTCGTCTGCTGCTTCCATAATATCTTGCATCTTGTGAGAACTGTCAAGATATGACAGGTATGAAACTATTTTTTTTGGACCAATAAATTTGGGAGAATCATATATGGTAATGTTTAAATTAGAAGGACGTGGTTATGGACATACAAATGGTCTCTTGATGACGTAAGAGCGGGCACAACATAACTAACATGAGATGGAGTATCCGTAGTGGTCGACAAAGCAGAACCAACAACAGAAGTAGTAACAATCGCCGTTATAGTCAAGTGGAATCTCGTCGTAGCCCGAAAAAATATCGCAGACCGAGTAAATTGAATGCCCCGCTGACCCTTCGGATAAGAGATCTGCGTTTGGGATGGACCCGACGTCTCTAACCCTGACTTTATTAGTTTTTTGCAGATCTTGTATCCATCGTAGTTTTCCGTTCGATTTCGTATGAAGAACCATCTGTTCGCATAGGCGCTCTCACACGGTTCTGCCACGGAACGGGTGAGACCATCTGATTTTTTTCCTTCGCGAAGTCAACTATCATCTCCTTTTCCTTCTGGGCACACTTCCACCCTGCGTCATTCAACGGAACGTGTGAGACCGTATAAATCCTTGCGGGTTTAGCATACCACGGGTCTCTTCGTCCTCTTTCCGCGTCGCAAAAGGCTACCGCCTTATCGCACGCCCTTAATATCCCTATTATTAGTTCTTTCTCCTCCTTAGTTATATTCCCATCTCCTATATCCATCCCTTTCAATCTATCTTCGGTGATTCTCTGCCCTTTTGTGGCCTTTCGTTCTCTGATCATCTGAGTAATCTCCTCTTCGGTAATCCCTAGCTCCCCGGTCCTGTCACGGCTAATTGCAGCAGGTTCAACTTTCTGGGCTACTGTTTTATATCTCTTCCCCCCGCCGCGTGGGGGAATTCCTCTAAAAAAGACAGATTTATGCACCCTCCGAACTCATCATCATCGCTTTCTTTTGAGTAAGCCGTCCCGTCCCGTCTACCACATATTTGTCCTCTATATCTTCTACCTCAATCCTTCTCCCCTTTACTCAGTGAGGCCCTAGGGTGAGTTCCTCAGGGATCATTTGGCAGCTCCTCGTCATTAACTGACCCTTATTTTGTAAGGAGACATTGTGACGTTGATCAAATTCGTTCACAGTCTTTAGGGTAACCCTGCTGCCCTCGGGCCCGTCTACGGTGACTGTCTGGCTTCCATCCCGCTTGTTCTCGGTGGTAGCTTTGACACGTGTTAGCCAGGTCCTCCCAAGGATTAGCTCCGATGAATAATATTCCACCGTGAAAACCGGCACGGTGGCCTCGACTCCAGCTACCACAACCTTGGCCTTATGGCACACCCCAAGCGCCGACTGTCTCAGCTTATTGGTCGACACCATGGCCATAGCGACACTTTTGTCCATTTCTAGCCCAAGCTCTCGCGCCACCTTATCTTCACAGACGGTAGACTCGGACCCGTCATCCACTATAACCTCCATTCTCACTCCATTCACGGCGACATTTAGCTTCTCACCGCCAAGGACGTAAAAGTAGTTGCCCTGGCCTTCAATGGTCTTCGCTCTCTCTTCCTTTCTTTTCTCGGTCATTAAGACGGAGGTTTTTGCCTCCTCCTTTGGGTCTCCAGAGATTGCCGTCTCCACCAGCGGCACCTTAGCTATCTTCATCATTTCTATTAGCTCATCTCTCGCCAGACCACACCCAACTATAAACTCCTTAAGAGTAATGGGAATGAGCATGTCCATTGCTCTTCTCAACTGCTCTCTCATGTCTACTTCGTCCAGGGTGCTTTTCAGTTGGAACTTCTTAGGCCCCCTCTTTCTCGGGACAGGGGTGACTTGGGCAATTCTAAGTGCTCATAAGTCATAGGCTGATCCACGTCCTTCTTTTTCCTGTGGCTTGACTCTCCCGCCCCTTGGGCACATATGTAGGCCTCACCATCATTCATTGTTTCCTCAAACTTAATGGAAGAAATCCTCATTCTTGGACTCAACGGCGATTCGCCTAAGTCGTCTTCGAAGGTCACTCTGGAAACCTTGACTGCCACTAACACTTGCGTCTGTTTTCCCTTCGCCTCATTCATTCTTCTCCTTCGAATATCCACATTAATTTTCATCGAGGGTAGGAAGGGCACAGGTTTCCCTTCATCCGCCCACATCACATACTTCCTATCATCTAATTCAATGATACCTTCCTTTAAAGCCTCCAACATTGCCTGACAATCCCTCTTCCTGTGGTCCTCGTCCCCATAGTACATACACGCCTTATCATTCCAGGTCCGCCTTGGATTAGGATCTCCTTTCTCCCGACCTTCTGACCGCAGAGCAGTTCGAGCAGGAAGCTCCTCCTTTTTCAGACTGCTATTTTGCAACTTTTCCATCGCCGCTTTTAAGACTTCGATCTCCTTCGCTATTTCCTCCTCTCGTCTTTCGGATCTCTTAAGCCTCTATCTCATCTTTTGGCTTCCACCTGTTATCTTTAGTGTTAGACCACTTGGAGGTTCCCCACTCTCCATCGTTCTTTTTCCAATCCCCTCGGCTTCGTTTCCTCCACTAGTCATCACTCCTAGCAAACTCCCCTCTCCTAGGCGAGCTTGTAATGATATCCTTTCCTTCAATATTGAACCTCCTATGGTCATATTGAGGCCTTCCTCCTCCCCTTCCCGCAGTCACTCATTTTCCTAGGTTATCAAGAACTTTTATGAGGTGTGTTTTTGCACTTTGCCCTTCCGTATTATGAACCAAGACTTTGACTTGGCTAAACGTCACCTTAGAGGAAAGATCCCGCACAATCTTGTCACGTTTTTCTTGTGATAGAAATCCTAGGAATATCCCGCACCTCTCGAGCTTTCCCATAAACCCCCCTTCTACCAATGGGTTCGAGGCCTTTTCATATCTCCTCGCAAACGCTATCAAACTCTCCTCCTCCTCCGTTTTCATTTCTTTCAGATCTTCCACCGAATATGAGACCTCGTCACAAACGAAGATTCTAGTGACTCTTTCCCTAAACGTCAGCCAACGACCACTGTCTGGAATAGCGTCCCTCACTTCTCGATCTATCTTTGGGGCCATATGGTGGAGGAAGTTTACCATCATTTCTTGATCATTCCACTCCGCCCTCATTCCCAGTACCTTCCAGTCATCCAGGTATTCAGAGACGTTCTTCCCTATAAAGATCGTCTGGATCCCGGACAGCGTCGGCGAGTGGTACATCGGGGGTCCAAGGAAAGGAGACACATAGGAACCCGGCGCATACGCCATAGAGTAAGGGCTCCTTCTATAAGGCTTGCTTGGGGTCGCTCTATAAGGTTCCCTTATTCCAACATCCGTAAACCTCGCCACTCTGGCTCTATTCAAAACCTCTTTCCTCAAGCCCTCACTTTTGGAGATTCGTCCTTCGAACTCTTTAGCGCGACTCTCTAACTCTTTTAAAACCCTTCTCAATTTCTCCGCGTCACTTGCTGCATCTATACCCATCTTCCTGTCTGGGCTATTCGTTCTTGATTCTTGTGTTTTTACGTCTTCCCCTATCGAAGTCAAATAAGCCCCTTCAACATCCATTTATCCCAACTAACTTTCGGATACTCTGCTCAAGGCAATTAAGATTCTCTCGATCGAGCCCTCCAGTATTTCTTGTAAAGCTTCGAAGTCAGCGTCTTCTCCTTCAGCTCTAACTACTAAAGCAGTGGTCAGTACAACCTTTGAATAGCGCGAGTTAGCCTCCAAGGTTCTTAATGAGACCCCGTCCACTATGTCGTTGGAAAGCTCTTCGGGTTCCTCAGCATCTTCCTTTATTCTTATTTTTGCCACAGCTATGGTCTCTCTCCACTCCCTGTAAAACTCCTCTCCTTCAAAGGGTATCGTGTGAATCTCGATATTGGCTAATCGAAGCTCGTCGGCCACTTTTCAGATAGCGCATATCCTAGCTTCCCTAACAACTTTCCTAGTAGATTCCGCCTCCTCCTCCTCGCTCAATCTTTCGTCATGTATCACTTTTACTCTCGCTCGCACAAAGGACCCTTCTATCTTCACTCCTCCTACAAGCTGATATTTCCCGGTCACCTCTCTGGTACTAGTCATTCCTCCTCTCTCTAGTCTCTCTACGGATCTCTCTTATTCTCCTTGCCAGAAACTCTTCTCTCCAATTTATTATTTTTTCCCTCTTTTCCTTGTACATCCGAGCTAATTCCTCCACCCTCTCCTCAAGCGCAAGGAGCTCCTGTTCATTGGTAGAACCGCACCACTCCTTGTAGCCATCCACTAACTCCACTACTTTATCGTTTATTGGATCTAAGTAAATCTCAATAAGTGAGTTAACGTTTTCGTCGCTTCCTCTCACGAGCGGGATCATGCCTCTTGGACCCTTCCTTCTCCACCTCGCACTTCAGCCATCCCTGCGACCAGACCATTACATCATAAGTCATCCTCCTCTCAGCTCGTACTAGCGTAAGAAGCCTAGGTCGCTCTCGCTCAATCGCTTCCTCGGCCAGACGTTGACAACTTCGTTCGTCTAGTGACCTAGTCGACCTAATTCGAATGACCGATGTCACTCTACCAGCGAAGGACACCCTATTCACTTCCCCCTCCTCAATCACTGATCCCGGCATCGCTTCCTGTCTCGATCTTCGTCTCAGTAGTGTAACTGCTCGTGTCAGTTTCAGCCTCAGTAGCGCTATTGTCGATCGACCGACCGTCCTTAATTCTCCGCACAAAATCTATTATTGCCTCCTATCCATTCCTTCGGACTGCCGTCAAGCTTGGATGAGGTTTCGACATTCCTACGAAAGGTACAACCTCCGTACTCCAGACGTGGGTCTCACCGTTCCTCTCCAATTTTTTTTTTCCTTCCAGAACGATGTTAACAGCCCGCTCCCAGCAGCTCCCATACCATCGTTTTCTATATCTAACCTTTGGGACGTAGATTCGAGTATCATACTCACTGAGGTCAAGGAAGTTACATGTTATCACGTAGAGACTATCATGCTCGAGATCAAGTTCCTTCAGAGCTTCATATCTTGCAATCACATAAGGAAATGTCGCCTCCTTGTAGGATAGAGTTTAAGGAATCTAGAAGCCGTCCGTTCTCCTCGTCACTTAACCTGCCCGCTCCCCTACTCCGGGGAAACCAAGCTCGGAAGGGAGGGATTCCACTCATCGGTTCTAATTCTTCACGGCCCTCAACACTCCTATCAACCTTCCTCTGTCGTCTTTGATCTCATGTTCACCTTTACCCCGAACATGCCTGTGTCGAAATATAGCTCGCCCTCTCGCTCATTCAAACAAGCAGCTCCTCTCCTTATGTCGATTCCCCCGGTTTCTGAACACCTTACCCTCTTACAGATCGAGGTCCCTAACGTACATAGATCTTCCCTAGACCATGCCCTCAAGAGTCGATACAGATCCTCGGATACCCTCCTCTCGAGCTCCCGTTTTCGCCCTTGCCAGATTATGTTTCCTTCTCCAGGTCTACGACCTTCCCCTTTTGCCATCGGTGGACCAGTAACGCAAGACGAAGTCGACCATCACCTCTTGCCTCCCATCCCTCAACGCTTCATAAGGGACCGGAGGTTTCGACAGACCCCCAAAGATCTTTATCCCGGTACTCCAGAGGACATGCTCTTCAACCGAGAGACAAACTTAACCACCAGGACATAGACTTTCTTTTTCAGTTCTACGTCCACTATGGCGGTGTAATACTCGATCCCATATGGAAAGGGCCCCCCTAGGGTCAAAGGAGTCCAGTCTCGTAGCAAGTCTTCTATAGTCGGGTCGTTGGATGATGGCAGCCCCCAGTTTACCCCTTCTTCCTAGCTAACTCTGTCCGTTAAGAGCTCAGTCGTGTCTTGAGTTCATTCGGACGCCCAGCCTTGGCCACCGTCCCTCGGCATGATCCTCTATTTCACCGACACTCCTAAAATATCCCACTCTTTCCTCGGGGAAGTCACGTAAGTCCTCCCATAATTCGGGTTCGTCCCTTGCCGCTTCCCACTCGGCTTCGTATTCCTCGTCCTGCTCTCCCTCGTCTCCGAGATCTCCTAATCTCCTATAATGCGAGCGCAATTCAAAGAACCCGATGAGCGCCCTCTCCCTAACCGACGGGTCGCAATCCCCGGTCCCGTATAACTCCGCTATTCCTGCCAGATGGTTCAGCGGTTCCCGCAGGGCTCTATCAAACGTGGACCAAAACTCGATCGGTTGCTCCTGCGTCGGTGCCTCCCACAAGTCCCTGGGCGAGGCTGCCCTAATCAACTCCACCAGCTCCAAGGCCGCCTCACCAAACCTATGCCCGTCCTTCCACAAAGCGTAGTACGTGTGATGCTCGTCGTTATTTCTTAAGAGACCTTGGATCTCCAGAAAGGCCCAATGGATCCAAATTAGACGGTCAAGGCCCCCTAAGAACCCTTCCAAGACAAAAATCGGAACGGGTAACCTCAAAGCCTCTTTCGGCTGCAGCAATAACCCTTCTCTCGCTAGACGGAGAGAGACCACTATAGACCGAAAGTCCCTATCGCAACAACGCTCCTTTACCCGGAGCTTCTTCACCTCCTCGCGTAATATGCCCCGGGCCGCTACTTCGTCTGGCCAAGTATATGAGTAGAGGCTCGGTACCACCCCCAGATCCGGAACACAATGGCTTCGCTCAACTGCCCGGAATACTATGTCAGCTAAGACAGAGGTTCGATAGGAAAGAAAATCCTTCACTACAAGTTCCAGTGAATCCTCTATCGACCTCCCTCTCCTATCTTGCTCAAATCCTACCGAGGGCGCAACCAACAACCAACCCCCCGGCCTCAACATGACAGACCTCCAATTCCTATCTATCTTCTTCTCGCCGCTCCG